GAACTACTTTTGAGGAACGCTTCGGTTTGCATTGGCGTGTTGAATAGACTGCAAATTGTTTATTGTTTACTTTTTATTTTGCTTTCCGCTAGCATCACGTGGTAAACTTTTGAATTCACGTTAATTGTTATTTCCTGTTTCTTCCGTTCTTGCGCTTCCATTATTTGCTTCTATATCCGCATCCGGCATTAGGAAATGGCGCAAAAGAAAAAACAAAATTTTAATGAAATTTCGAAAACTTAAGAAATTAAAACTGTGCCTTTACACTCGCATATTAAAGAATTCACCATAATGAAGAAGAAATTCTATCTTAATTTAATATATGTATGTAAAAAATACTATGCATGTACATATGTAAATGCAAAAATGTGCAGGCAGGCACATGTTAATAATATAATCATATATGTATGTATGTATGCATATTACAACCAAATAAAGGAACTTACGTGAACAATGAATCATTTACCAACAGTGCAATCACATTTACATGCACTATAAAATATATGTACTATGTTATGCATTTACATGTCGTACACCTTCTTCAAAAGGGACACAACTCAAAAAAAAAAAGGAAAAAAATTTAGGTCTATGTTTATGCGTAAATAAATTCGTACGATTTATCTCCAATAAATGCAAATATTTTTTTTCTTCAGGATTGTATTCTTTAAGTAGCAAACTACTGTTTTAAATGCCTGTTTCAATATTAATTGCGTTGAATGTGTACCGTCCACAAGCAGTTGTATTTTCGGATCCGATTTTGGAGTTGTGCCTCTTTTGAAGATGGTGAGCGATATGTACATGCATATTTGTATATTCAATTATGTATGTGCATATTTATTTATAATACTTCCGCTAAACAATCAAGAATGAAAGATATTTACATATGCCCATGGAAATGTAAAGTGACTGTTAAAGTTATAGTGTTAAACATTAAATATGTATGTAGGAATGTATCATATGAGTAATAAATTTCATCAAAAAATTAAAGTGATTGTCTTCCAGTTAGAAACCTTACTGGTGCTAGTATGCATAGAAAAGCTAGAAATAATGGGAAATGAGGAAAGAACATTAGTAGGGTCCAAATTTTTTACTCAGAATATTGTAGCAGGTGAAACTTTATTTATCCAAAATTAACCCCAACTTACCTGACCTAAAGCCGACATAGGAAACTGACCGTTTCTTGGGCATGGAGGAGACTGATGACAAAATATAGTGGATTTACTAATTTCAGCGCGGTTTAGTTTTTTATATCGGCCAAAGAATATCAACACAACATTTCCAGCACATTTAGTAAAAATACTCTATTATTTTTTTATAGATACGTTCACACGGCATTATATTTGTTAATATTTCGAAAAATCGTAAGCATGCCACAGTAATAAAAAAAAAAAATCCGCTAGGCATATTAAATGATTGAACATTTTCGCATAAAAACATAAAAAATAATACATACATACATACTTACACAAAAAACTAATTCTGATTAAAAATAAAGTATAGTAGATACGGTTTGTTTTTGTTTTGGTGCGAAAAAAACAAAAGAAAAGTCTCCCCTCCCACCAATAATTCTACCTTAAACAAATTATGTTAAAATATGCGCAGTACCCTCGTCAAACATAGCTTTATGCGCACATTTTATAAATCGTCGCATGCCACGCAACATATAATGTAATTCGGGCTTGCCCATTACCCGTACTAAAACTTTAAGAAATTCCTCAAATTCATCCTGACGACTATATGCCATTAGCGCTGCGGTAAAAGCACTAAAATCGTCTGGTGATAGCGAACTTCGCAGCTACGAAACATTTAAATTTAAATTATTTAACTTCACAAAGTAATTTTTAAACTCACTATTCTCAAGAACTCTACTCGCTCCTGTGGCGCCTCCTTCTCTACCATTGGAGTGTCATTGGTTAGTTTTGATTTGGATTTGAAACTAAATTCACTGAGTGTTGATTGTGTACTGGTGGTTGGCGAATCAGGTATTGTGGTGGTACCCGTAACCAATTTATAGCGTTTTCGCTTGTTATTGGCGGCGAGGGCGCTTGAACTACTGCTGGGGCTTGTAGTCGGTGAGTTTCGCTCACGCTTGAATATGCTAACCTGACCACTGCTCGAGGCTTTGCTGCAGTTGGTACTATTGAAATCTATAGCCTGCGAGAAATTTGTGAAAAAAGCGCCAGTGTAAGAACAATGATGACGGTTGCAGTTGTGTTACTTCACCTTTACGTTGGTGTCCAGTCGACTCATGAAANCATCTGGGGTCCAGCCTTCAATCGAATTGGTTTTCTCGACCTTCCTATTGGTTGTATATTTTTTTTTATTCTTAGAATGATAATTTGTTAAAAAAAAAATACTTATAATTAAATATGACTTACATTGCCATTGACTGCGCTGTGGCAAATTTACTAAGCACTAATTTAGGGTCTGAGAAGTACCGACTCTGCACGATGCCAGCTTCTTCACATGTTTCGCTCACAAGCGTCTCTATGCTACGCTCTTTTGGTTTGGGTAACTATCAAATTAAAAATAATATTTCACAAAAATATATATATATATTTTTTTTATATAAAGTTATAATAACTTACAGTTTTATCAGCATTCCGGAAGAATTCGCGCAATTCTCGCACAATCGAACCGAAGGGCACGCTTCTGGGAGAGGCGCCTAAATAACCGCGAACCCATTTCGATAATTGGGACACCTGACTAGGCTGCTCAAAACGTACATCACACAACAGAATGGCGCCATAATCGTGCCGATGACGAATGACACGTCCAATTGCCTGATTCACAG